TTGTCTCTCATAGTTGAGGTATACCTATGATGAAAATTACAGGCCTCTCTCATCTTTTTAAGTGGGAGAACTTGCACAATTGGTGGCTGACTAAATACTTTTTTGCCCCACTGTACATATAGTACAATTAAAATGATTACTCCCTGTATTTTTAATTATTTTATTTCATTAACAAAATACAATTTGGTGGTAATTTTTGAAGAGGCTTCATAGGCCACACCAAAATTTGGGGGGGCACATGTGGCCCTGGGGCTTCAGATTTAATTAAGAGAAACAGAAGCTACTTACCTGGTTTATTTGTAAGGTATGAACCAGAAATTCACTTTCAGTTTGTCATGGTTTATTCTCTGTTCTTAGATAAAAATTTGTGCTTTGTTTCAGAAGAACAGTTCAGTTCCTGGGTAACCTTGAACAACAGAAGTTGCTTTTATAGTTTAGTCCCACTTGCAAGAGGAGATGATAGAGCACTGTGTTTAGTCATTCATAGTAAGCTAGAATATTTAGAAATCCTGGCTCAGTATGACACACAAATGCTCATTCTATAAGCTGTTGAAATTATTTTGGCATCTTGACATATAAAGAAATAGCAAATTACTGAAGCATAAAAGAGGAATTTTGGATTTAGTAGATAATTGTGTGTTAAATTAATGAAATAAAATCTTGCTTTATTTTATTTAGAATATACCTAAATAAATCAGTAAAAGAAAGATGGTAACTTTGAAAAAAATATTTAAAAAACAATAAGATAACGTTGTAGTGAAACTGCTTTCTCTTTTTGTAACAGTTTTTCTGGAAGGCCACAAGGTAGCTGAAAATTGACGCTGTCTGAACCTACGTCTGGTTTATAAGGGCTTACCACAATGGCAACTGGTCTAGCCAATGTAGGAAGCTCTTTTGGAGGTCCATCTAATTCTCTGGTTTCTAGATCTAAGTTCCAGAGTACCTCCATAGAAGATGATGATGATGTTGTATTTGTTGAACCTGTACAGCCTCCACAAATCTCTACACCATTAATAACAGACCACAGAAATGTTTTTAATTCATCCAGTAATGAAGAGCAACATGGAAATGACCCTAAAATATCAGCTCCGTCAAAAGACCTGAGCTCTCAAAAGGGAAGTATAACTGAGACTATTATTATTGATGATGAAGAAGACATTGAAACAAATCAGGGACAAGAGAGAAATGATTCCAATTTCAATGAAAGAAGATTTCCAGAGGGTAAAAACAGAACCAGTGAGATGGAATTCTCAACACCCAGTTTTTCAAGATGTAAGGTAAATGCAGGAATAGGTAATAGTGGTATAACCACAGAACCAGACTCTGAAATTCAAATAGCTAATGTTACTACATTAGAAAGAGGTATGAGCTCTGTGAGTGTTGGCCGTTTAGAAAATACTGAAGGGCGTGACATGAACTTAATGATTACACATGTAACATCACTACAGAATACCAACTTGGGAGATGTATCTAACGGACTGCAGTCAAGTAATTTTGGTGTTAATATACAAACATACACCCCATCTTTAACTTCACAGACCAAGACTGGTGTAGGACCTTTCAATCCTGGTAGAATGAACGTAGCTGGTGATGTCTTTCAGAATGGGGAATCTGCAACTCATCATAACCCTGGTAGGTTGTATCTTTATATATTTTTATCCTAAGACTTGCAAAATCTGCTAAAGCCAATTATATTCTAAGTTCTTTTGAACTAATGTTGGTGCAGTTTTATAAATTAGAGTTTATGTTGCTTGAAAGGTTAATTTAAATCAAGGTTTTATAATAAAAGATCGTTCTAAACAGTTAAAATTTATTGAGTACAATTATCTGGAACCTTGGGGCCTTTAAAAGAATTCCTAGCTTTTGGGGCAGATAAGCAAGATACTTTAGTATCTTTAGTATTGTGGAATCCTTCACAATATGGCTACCATTAGGATGAAGCTAGCTAGACAATGTCTGTATTGCAGAGGGCGAAATTATGAGATTAAAAGAAAAGTAACCTAGCATGGAATCTAAGAAAAAATGGAGGTGTGTCTCAGTTGCAAAACAGAAAACCATTTAAACCTTTTTCTAAAAATAAGCTTGAGAGAGAGAATTTAAAAGGACCAGAACACTACATGCTGAATCCTGCATTTACCTTCCCAAAGCATAAAAATAATGAAATGTGATTCTTATAGAAATATACTCAAGAGGAACAGTACCACATGCACATGGATCAGTAAAACACTTCCCTTGCTTTTTCACTCCCTCACATCCCAAGATATGCTCAGTGCTCCCACTTACCATTTTTGTGTTTTTACTGGCAAGATTCATTAGAAAGCACTCCCCTGCAGTTATCTGACATTCTTAGGAATGAAAGATGGTGCTGGAGTCTGGCAACTTGTCTACCTTTTTTTTTAACTGAGTAATTTTAAGTACAATCAATAACTATTATGCAGTCTATCTGCTATAGAATTCTATCTGCTGTAAGATTAGGATGAGCATTTTCAGCACTCTTCCCATTTGGATGGGCATGAAATAATATTTGAAAAAAACCCGCAAGGTACAAGTTTATTAGTAAACGTAAAATGAAGCCATACTTGTCTAAATGTTTAGTTATATATAGAACAGTAGCGGTCCCAGAAATTCGCTGAGCTACATTAGTTAGCAGTTGTATACAGTAGGATTGAAAATTGAACATACTGCAGAGCAGTGGGAAATGGGAACGTGCTCACTCAAATTGATCACCATTGAGTTACTATGCAGGGTAGCACGATGTATTGTGGAGCTGTACTTCTAGAGAGTGGTCAGGAGGTATACAAATTTAATAAATAATTTATTTGTATTATATTTGTATTATATTATTATTATTATTATTTAAATTTACATGCTGCCCAGCTCCCAGTGGCTCTGGGTGGTTTACAGTTGTTAAAACATTTAAAACAAAGAACAATACAAAAAGCCCAAAAATAGCACAAGACAAAATTATAACAATGGCAAAGAAAACAAACCTGGAGGGGAACAGAAAGGTAGAAAGAGACATCAGTTGTTCCCTCCAAAGGCCTGGACAGAGTCAGATCTTTAAGGCCCTTTGAAATACCAGTATTGCCAGATCAAATTTTGGGGGGGGAGGACCTCATTCCAGAGGTTTTACTTCCATTCAAATTAAATATCTAACTCTTTTTAAAATAAGTTTATTTATAAATTTAATGCAATTTTTATGCAACTTACCTGACATCTATAGCTTCATTTTGAGATGACAAGTATACAGTTGAAAATATTTGCATTAAATTTCATTGTAAATCAGATACGTAATAGCTAAAATAGTTTTAAATTTGATGGTTTAAAAAGATTTATAAAGAAACAAATGGTGCTTGAAAGAACAATGTTAGCTTAACAGAGGTGACTAAAAAGTTATTTTTTTATACCCATGTACAATGCACATCACTGACTCAATATTATGTTAGTAATCTTGTTCACTAACTGAATTTTGAGTATTGAATAGAACTGCTCATAACTGTTGTACTTTGATGTTCAGTTTCTACATACCATTGTGAGAATAATATTGTACCTATGTATGTTTTGATAGTCAAATGTGCACTAAATGAAATGCCTGCCATATATTCTTTTTTGAAATATACTGAAACGTAGCCATCACATTGATAAGGATTTCCCTGCTCTGTACCATGGGCTATCATTACTGTTATCTGCTAGCTTTCTGTCTTACATGGGGTTAATGCCAGGCCTGCTTTCATACAGCAAGATTAGAATCCACATCTGTACATTACATATCCATATCCATGTCCCAGCATGCAACTACAGATAATAAAATCACAGATAAGATGATGTTTGCCCCCAAAAGTAACAAAAGAATACAAGGAAAAAACAGAACATTGGATCTTTATAAGAATTACAAATACAAAATCAAAATAAGAAAGCAGTGGAGCACTTCTTTGTCCTCCTCAAAACCATGGAAAATACCAATGTCATGTTTTGATGACACTGCACCTATAGCGTTTGTAGCTACATTCGCAAAGTAAGTGTTGACAGTGCTTTGCTTAGTCTTGCTTTGCAGACCCCAATAGGTATACTTACAGGGTTGCAGTGAAGGTTCCAGTAACAGTGGTTCCTCGGGTCACGAATGCTTCTGTTCAGGACCAATTCGGGTCACGAACAGCTCTGGTCGCAAAATTTTGCCTCCATTCGCGAACGCCGGATCGGGTCACGAACAGGATCCGCGGCCATTTTCCTTCCCGTGACACGGTCCGCGGCCATTTTCCCGCCCGTGACACGTGGTCCGCGGCCATTTTTCCGCCCCTGACACATGGTCCGCGGCCATTTTTACACCCCGACACGTCCGTGGCCATTTTCCGCCCCGACACGTGGTCGTAGGGACGGGGACTTTCCCTCCAAGCAGTAGCCGCCTCCCTGTCCTCCACACCAGAACGGATTAACGGTAACTACATTGAACCTTATGGGAAAATTTGCTTCGGGCCGCCGGCCCATCTTGGCGGGCGCCGAGCGCGGGGAAAGGAGAAAAAAGGTATATGTGGGGAGTGTGTTCTCGTTTTTTTTTATTTGTTCGTGCCTT